ACTCAACTTTTTTTTTTTTTTAATTACTACTAAAAATAGTTTTTCAGGAATTTTGTAGTAATTTTCATATTTTTCGACCGTGCGAAAGTAATTACCTACCTAATTTACGCTCAACCTAACCTTCGTTATTTTGAAAACTAGAGTTAATCGAGCGATTATGAAACTTGATAGTAAGAACATAATAATTTATGTTTATATGGGGGTTTCTACGATATCTACCTAATTCAGTTTTAAGTGAGTTAAAAGCACTTTTAATTTACACTTCACTGTATACACAAAACTTGGTAACTACCGTAAAAACCCCTCGAACAAAGATAATGTTTTTATCATCAATTTTCATGATAGTTGATTCACTCTAATATTAAAATTAACGAAACTAAACGTGATCTGCTGAGAGTAAATTTACTATGTTACGTATTTAAGAGAAGACAACAATATTATGTAACTGTAACGACATTGTAACTATATAAACATTATACCAGAAAATATAATATAAGGTAGGTATATGAATTTATTGTAACACAATACAATATTATAGCTGATTRTGGTGAACGTAGTCTGTTGGCTGTTTGGCGAACAATATGTGTCTAACGCCGCTAGCCGGATGATGTGTGGTATGCGGAACCGGATGGTGATCCGGGACTCGGCCAAAATGCAAAAACAAACTTCTAGCGCCGAGTTCGAGAACCAAAACCACGAGTTTGGGAGTCACAACTAGGAGCTTTCAACCACTAGACAGCTAACTGTATCGAATGGTAGGTACGGTGGATCGAATTTATATAATGCACCGTCCGCGTACTTACATCTACGCGATATCAAACGTAGTATAATAGTACGTTTTAAAACTTTAAAAGAGTATTTTAAAGATCAAAATTTATGATAACATTACATTTCCGTGGAACACGTAACCTAGACCAATCCACTCGATAAATATCGATAGATAAATAATAGTGTATAATATTGATGTGTATCGTTGAAGTATTTATTTATACAATAGTTATTATACTCATTAAATTGTTTTCGTATGACACATGATGGTTGTATTTATATAAATGCGCTATTGTAGATAAATAAACGTATAAGCGTATATTTTCATTTGACAATATTTTATACTCCTATTACCTATGGAAACGCGATCCCGGAGTTAAATCATAAAAAAATAGCTCTAAGTTCCATATTTTTTATTTTTATCGGTGTTGTGATTGATATACACRATATGTTATGTGATAATCTTATTTACTCATACACTGCAGCCAAATATGTAACAATAGTTGATATAATAATAACTTGTCGACATGGAAGTTATTGGGATTAATGTGCACTGCAGTCTGCAGTATAATACACAATTTGATAGTTGAAGAACCAGTGTTGTTCAGCGTACTGAATTCAGTATTTTTGGCACCTCTTCTGTATCTGGACTCTTCCCTAACAAGGCAARTACCGCAAATAAATTGTAGGTGTGTATGAACATAATATATGTATATTATGAAATAATTACATAATTGATTTTGTTCGCACATATTTGATTAAAATTGGAATTTTAACTGTTACCAATGGATAAAATACAGGTATCTAACCTAGGGTCCAATATGTCAAGAACTGTCCTGTGGTCTGTTGTGTACTCCTAACAAACATCTTTTGTACGGTTATAATTTTCCATATGACGCCAATATAGCGTCGACACAACGCCATTAAGAAATTTCAGTTTTCCAATACAAAGGTCGTCTGTACGGCRTACAAAATAGACCCCTGACCCTCAATACGCATGCTTATGAATTCGCTAACTACCTCCAACGTTGAACTTATTAATATGTCTGCGCTAACTAATATCTATATTATACCTGTCTGTGTGTGTGTGGTTATATAATTATAATATTATAAGCAACGTGAATAATAATTATACTAATAAATTAWCCATAACGGAAGTTCTGTTCAAGTATTCACCTCTAAATAGAGGTTATTTCATTTTTTTATCTGCTACGCGTCGATTTCATCAGAAAATACAACTGCAGTATATACTACTGCAATATAGTTTGCATACTAATTATAATTAAGGGGTAACTCCTAATCAAAAATAATTAAGTGTTCAAAAAAGAAAAGTAATGAATAATTATTACACATTATACCTATTATAAGATATTGTGATTGCGTAGGTGTGTTGTATTGCTATTGTATGATGAGACCAACAATTGATTAAGACAAAAAGTATGGATTTTATGTTCATTTTTGTTTTCCTTGACAATTGAATCACTCAGTTTTTAGTCAGTTTAAAATTTCAGTAGGTATATTATATACTTTAAAATTTGAGGCTTATTATTACAACAATATGTAAATAAATTAATAAATTAAGTAATTTGTATTTCGGTTAAATTATTTATTATACACCAATATTTAGCTCTAAATGACTATATTTTATATTTTTGCTTTTACTTAATTACAAACTATCATAAGTCAGTCAATCGCTATCAATCTCATACGTCAATTAATAATATTATTTTATTTTTACAAATTGTAGATTTATATTATTATAATATACTATTGCATTTACTATGCTAAATTATTCTCATAATTTTTTTTTTAAGCTGTTAGTTATTATTTGGTAATAATTTTATCGTAGTTAATACTCATGGGTCATAAGTATATTTTAAGATATTATATATTTATATGGGTAATACTAATACACGGAATTTTAATACCAATATTTTTCGGTAAATATTTATTTAATTTGCTCTCAGAATTTATTAAAATACGTATATGGATTGTGGTATTTCATTTTAGAATCTAACTGGCGATTAAAAGCAATAATCATCATCATAAAATCAAAATACTATRCATTCTCTCGCAAAATAAATAACAACTGAATTCTAAAATTCCKGAATTACTGAATAATTAAGACTCCGCTAAATTCATTGTTTCAGCTGTTGCATTATTTGTTAACAATTATTCCTTATCCTTTTTTAAAAATATTCTAAATATTAATACTAATTTTAACTCTTTAYCCTAATAAATTAAATATGTGAATTCATCCAATGGAAACTGTTACAGAGAGTTATTTTAATTTAATCTTAAAATAAAAATAATTCAAAATAAATTTATATTTATTATACTTGGTATGAGTTATAAAAAATATTCAATAATAATTATGATTAAAATGTCATAATATGTTTCAAATTTCAAATTTTTCGTCTCAAGTTGTATTATTAAAATAATAACATTCTACGAACAATAATAATATTATATTACAGTCTAAATTACATAAAAAAACAGATAACAGTCAAACGAAAATAAATAATATTTGTTACTTGTACGAGTGTATTTTTTTTTAATTTAAAAGTAATAAAAATATTTATTTAATTTAAAATTAATTATATATATATAATATAAAAATGATTCTGATATCTTTTTCAATTTTCTCGTTCAATCACCTGAATGTGGGAATACTTAAAACCATAAAAGCATTCAAATGTTTAAAAYAAGCCATAAATAAAAATCAATTCTAGCCAATTCATTAAATGGCAATATTGTAAAATGTAATATTATAAAGTCGTAAAGTTTCGTATAGTAATAATAATTTATATTTTAAAAATACTTAAGGATTCCCCAATAGGAGATTTCTGTTCTCTGCTGTGAAACATGTCTATAGATCATGCAATAAAACAATTTTAAATCTAAAAAAATATTTCTAATATTATTGTTTTATTTCCCACATAATATTATGTTGCTCGTATATAGTACAGAATTATATACCTTGGTAAAACAATGATTAGGAGAAGTTAACCTAAAAAATATAACAATTATTACAGATCACAATATAACGTAACATATAACAATATATTTTTTTTAAAAGCTCCAATATTTTATGAGTTGTGTAATTCTTCAACAAGGCAATCGATAGCAAATTTTAGTTTTTAAATATTTTTATAAATTATAAAATAAATAATTGACGGTTACCGTTCACGTCAGCAGTTATAAAAACGAGACATATATTTTCTATCAGTCAACATTTTACCATGGGATAAATTGTTTCGAACACTTTTTTATGGACAGCATTYGAATAGGGAAATATAAAAATCATTAGTCAATCGTTTTTTGGGTAAGTTAGAAAACTTTGCGTAAACATCCCGATTTCCGTCGATGATGCATGAATAAAAAAATATTAGTCGAAAACTACTTGACGAGTCTGTTGTCGTACGTGAGCAAAACATACAAGCGGTTTGTATATATTATGCTCATTCGTTTATAATATTAAAATATTTGAACTACAAGTMCTGACGACCGACAAACGCTTGTTACTTTGTAGTTTGTTTGTACCATCGTCGCATAGTGTAAATATTATATTAATTTAATGTTCACCGAATTTATTGTTTGGCAAAGTTGCAGACGCTCGCGCATTCGGTGATTATGGTTGTCGGCGTGCGCGTGTGGTGACAACGGATAAAGATTAGGAGAGAAATGTATTATTATTATTTTTTTTTTTTTATAATATATTTTATAGATGGGAGAGTTATGCGAGGAGGAGTACGATAAAACGCGAATTGCATGCGAACGTGCGTACGTTTTTAGGGGAACATATTTTGCAATTTGAATAAGTCGTCGTCGAGGGTGTAATCGAAGAACCGTAGTCATTGCGCGTACGCCCGTACGAATAACAATAATTTCAAATCATCAAAATATTTACTTATAAGTAAGTACCCGAAATCCGAAATCAAAAATCTATTGAACGAAGATTAATTATAATTAGTATAAATGATTTATTAATTAGGTAAATAAATATTAAATATTATATATATATATATACCTATAATAATCAAACCATTTGTCCATAAACTAATTTTATATCCATACTCCAAAAACCTTTTAATCACCAAAAAATGTTCAAAATAAGATAGTAATAATATTATAAGCTTGTTTGACAGGCATTTTATGTAAAATGTATATAATTGATGATCCGTACTTAGAGTAATCATTGAAATGGGTGGTTTAAAAAAAAAACTTTGTATGAAATAAGAAATACTGATAAAATAGGAATGAATAAAGTCTGAAAAAGAAAGATAATAAATGTTGTAATCGGACGTATAACTAGGTATTTTTTGTATTTAAAAGTTACTATTATACTGCTTTCATAACAATTATAAATCATTAAAAAATGGTATTACATTACAATGGCATATTGACTTGTAACATAATCTTTACATACTGTAGTGTATTGTGTATTATATTGTATCTCACAACCTGTGACACTAATGTATTGTACCTATGTGTCTTGTTATTTGAAACTAGCTATATTGCTATATTATGACACGCAATTTATACTTTTTAGACAATACCTGTGTTTAAAT